AACCAGGAGACCTGCAGAGACACAAGAAACCAGGTCAACCAGGAGACTCAGAACCTGAGAACAGATTTCTGATCATGGTTCATAACCTGGAGAACAAGTGAATGGATTCCCGCTGTGACCTTTGACCCCTGCAGGTAAACACATCACACTACATCAGCACGTGGCTTCAAATCTTTTTCTGTCAGCTGACACTCAGTGACGTCAGTCAAACGTTATTGTTTTTTTAAGGTTTTTAATAAACGTTCCGCTTCTCTCAAAGGGAACTGGGTTCTGCATTGAGTACTAGACTAAATGCAATCCAAATAACTGGAACAATGATGTAGAACGCAAATCTGAGGTAAACAGAACCTGAAGGTACGGTTACCAGAACCGAACTCTAGTGGTTAATGTTATGGCCCAACAGAACCGCTGGAACCGGACTGGAACACTCACACCGAACCAAACCGGGCCGGGCCACAAAGAGCGAGTCCGAACACAGACAATAAACAGCAGCTCACAAACAAAAACTGAACCGAACCGGACCGACCGAACTCACCCGACAGTCCCCCTCCGCGACCGTGCCCCCTCCTCCTCTGCAGGGTGAAGAACGGGTTGGCCCGTTCGGACACCCACAGAGCTCCGGCCAACAGAACCTCCTCCGGTTCGATCCACATCTCGGCCCGGTTCTGCTCGGTGGGAACACGTCCCGACTGGTTCTGGTTCGGATGTTGTTTTCAGAGACTAATGGCTTCACATCACTTCCGGGTGTAACACAAAGACCACGCCCTCATTGCGCTATGCGCCATGACGTCATAACCCGTGACGTTTGAGAATGTATGGTTTTTGCATTACAGTACAGTACTGCACCACTAAACACAAATGAACACTAAAAACTATAGACATCTTTGTGAAGAGAAACCGTCCATCATTTTAAACAGGGGCGGAGGGTCCGTGTCCAACTGTCACCTTCTTACTGTTATTGCTAATGGCCTATTACTCAACCCACTGTGAATAGCAAGTGGCCATAGGAGCACTAACAATCAGTCGTTAGGCTGATGGTCCTCATTTAACAAGTGAACAGCTAGTTTTGGATGGTAAATGGACTGTACTTATAAAGCGCCTTTCTATCTTAGATACTCAAAGCGCTTTACACTACAATCTGTGTCCTCATTTACCCATTCATACAGCACTCTACTAGATCTCTACAAAGCTAATTGAACAAATCATTCTAAAGAGACTAAGAGACCTGGATTATTGAGCATGCATCAAGAGACTAATCAGTGCTTCACCAATGGGACACACATCGAAGGCAGTGAGGGGTTCAGTGTCTTGCCCAGGGACACTTTGGCATGTGACTGCTGGTGGATTTGAACCCCCAACTCTTGCATTGGAGGACGACTGCTCTGACCGCTCAGCCACAGCCGCCCCCAAGTCACCAACAAACTGGTTGATCCACTATGAAATGTGCTGTTTAGGTTTGTGCAGCTCCTCAGACTGACGAGGCCTTTTGGATAGAAGACGAAACGTTTCAACCATTTTTACTTGTACTTTTTGCATCCTTCCCGAGGACCTGCTTAACTTTGTTAGAGTTTTCTACCTGGATTATTGAGCATGCATCAGGATTTGTTGTTCTCTTAATTTGCATTTACCTACATTCTGCTACTTTTTGTTTTAGCAGTTGCTTTTGCAACTTTTAATGAACATTATTTTTTTTACTTATAGCTATTCTGCTTTTTAATAGCCTTTTCTCTCTGTGACGTTTAGCTGTGTTGCTAGTTTTAGCCTTTAGCTATTGTTTAACTAGCTTTAGCTTGTAGCTACCATTAAACCAGGTTTAGCTTGTAGTTACTGTAGATTTGACTTTTAGCTACTGTTTTGCTGGCTTTATATTTTAGGTAGTTTTGATAGATATTATCTTTTAACCACAATATTGCAAACTTTACTTTGTAGCTGTTTATACCAGTTTTAGCTTGTAGGTAGTATTTTGCTAGCTGAAATTTTTAACTACTGTATTACATATGCTTTTAACTGTTCTGCTAGTTTAAGTGTCTGCCGCACTGAACCTATGTAGGCCAGGCCTGATGGTTTTAGTGGGACACCTGGTACCCCGTGCCCTCAGATCCTCCTGAAAGAAAATGAGGTCTGAAGACGTGATAAAATGGAAGCAAACACCACATGGAAACTTAAAATCTGAAACCAAATATGGACAAAGTGTCTCTTCCTTTTTCTGCTGTTTAAAAGTGAAACCACAATAATCCAGTTTACGGGTGTTGCCATGTTGTATTTGGATGAAGGACTAAGGTGTAATTTTGTTTTTTTAATCAGGTGAATGTCCCATCGGTAACGTATACTGCAGCCAGCTTGTGGGAGGAACTGGTTCTGCTTAAGTTTAAATCTATTAAAATTACGTTCATGGGAAAAAGTGAAAATCAAACGCAGACTGTGCAGACGAACCAACACTTTAATGACAGTAGATGCTGCGGCAGTAAAGACACAATGGACTGAAAGCATCACACACCCCTCATCATCATCATCCTCACACACAGAGACAAAGACAGCAGCTGAGTGTCCCTCAGGACGTCTTCAGGTCACTTAGAGATAATATTGATTAATCAGATTATAGATTGTATAATGCTGTTTATATACGGATTATTTTCACACTCTGATAATTCACGAGCTGTAGATAATAACTTCAAAAGGATCAGTCCGTCACTTAAGGAAAACCCACTGGAGAAGAGCAGAAACTGATTGGACGTCCCTCTGCTTTAAAGCTACGGGTCTGGGTTCTGGTTGGGGCTCCGTCCCTACAGCAGGTGTGGAGCCAACATCTGGAGGTAACACCTAGAGTTGTCTTTGGGAGATAAGAGCTAGAGAAAACATCTGAAGAAAACACTTGAAGCTGACAGCTGGAACCGACATCTGGAGATAACATTAGGACATAATATCCAGAGATAAGTTCCACAGTTTTCATATAAAGCTAACAGCTGGAGCTAACAGCTGTATAACTCTACAGAGTGTCAGTCATTTTCTTTCAGCTTTAAACTAAGCTGTAATTCATCTAAAAACTGGTAATCTACAAAAAATCAAAGGAGGACACAAGCTGTTGGAAAATGTTGGAAAGTTCCTTTAAATTTCTGTGAGGTCACAGAACTCAGACTGGTCCAGATGTTACAGAACCCCAAACGACTGAATGTCCTTCCGATCTAGTCTCGGTGCGCAGATTGTCCTCAGTCAAAGTTCTTAGCGTTGGTCCAACAGAGGTTCCAGGTTCAAGTTCTGGACATGTGCTGGTTCTGGTTCCCACACGATGCAAAACAAAAGCAACAAGAGCAGTCAGTAACTACTACAAGGAGCACTGATCTGCAAGAGGATCAGGGTCAGCATCAGTACTAGGGTCAGAAAAAAACCCTTAGCTCAGGAGCTTGTCCAGAAACCCACAGAACCTTCTTTGGGGCTCAGAAGGTTGGAACAAAAAAAAAATCCCAGTGAGGATGGAAGAACAATTCCAGGAACCCTTCTAGGCACTCAGGAATCATTTTTAGAAACTTATACTTTTCCAAAAAGAACTGAAAACTTGTCAAAGACTTAAAAGACACTTGTGGACCTTGTGAGCTCGTTAACTTTTGCAGAAATCAGGCACCTCATAAGAACTTCTTCTCCCAGCTGCTTCCTGGTCACAGAATAAGAATTTCAAGAAATCCTTCTGGAAAACATCAAGAAAGACTTCTTACAAACTTTTGAATGTAGTTCCCCACGAAGGACCCGCGTTAGGAAGTTGGAACCCCAGAAAACCCCCGAACCTTTGTAGGCACACTTTCAGGAACCGTGTTGTGGCTTCGCAACGGCAACTTGAAGAAAAGCCCAAAGTTTTTAAGATCTCCATAAATTTGCCAGCAAATTTACATTTAGAAGTAGAGAACTTTTTATGCAACTTCGTTCCGGTTCCAGAATACTTTGGGGAACTCTTTTTGGAAACTAAGTTTGAGTGGTAATTTATTTTTTTTTTTATGCAGTCAAAAGTTAAACATCCAGTCCTGTGTTATCAGACCTCCCCACCCAAAACAACCCCACATCCCAACAGGAAACACCCCCAAAGATGTCCTGTGTCCATAAAGGTTCTGTGTCTATCAGCAGGCAGATTGGTGTTGAGAGTGCGAGGCTGTAACCGTGGCGACTGGTCTCAGGACTTATTGTCGTCATAGTGATCGAGGGAAGCCTGGATGTCCGGCAGCTCCATCTCACAGATCACGTTACGAGGAGACACAGAGCTCCTGTTGAAGAAGTGGCCCCCACCTGCCAAGAAAGAAAAAACAAAAATCACAACGCAAACAAGAGGAAAAACTCAGCCAGTACACAACTGTTACGCCTCTGAGCCTCCAAGGGAGTGTCAGAACTGAGCCCGCATGTTGCTTTAATTTGGGTGTAAAGTTGATGTATTTTGTTGCAAAGTTGCTGGGGACAAAGTTTCTACAGTTTGTGGGTGAATTTACTGTGTTCCTGCGGTTAAAACTGCTGTGATTCTAAGGATAAAGTTGCTGTAGAAGTTGCTTTATGTTGAAGGTACTTAGTATTTTGGGGGTAAAGTTGCTGTATTTCTGGAAGTAGAGTTGCAGCATTTTGGAGGTTAAGTTGTCGTATTTTGGAGATCACAGTTGCACAGTTGCTGTCTTTCTATGATAAAGTTGCTGTATTTTGGGGGTAGAATTGATAAATGTTAAAATTGACATTTCAGATAGTTTTCATTTGATATTATTTCTATCTTAACATATGATTCTTGACCTGCCATTGTGTATCTGTTCCTCTCAAACCCAGCCGGTCAAAGCAGATGGCTGCTTATCCTGAGCCTGGTTCTGCTAAAGGTTTCTTCCTCATGAGGGAGTTTTTTCCTTTCCACTGTCGCCTTCATGCTTGCTCAAGATGAGAGTTCTGTGACGGAGTTAAATTCAAAGCAGTCTGCTCCTCAGATAAAGTCTTAAATTATTATTTTTATATATGAATATTTCTGTTAACTTATTTTACATATGAATAGTTACGTTCAGTGCCCTGAGATGACTTCTGTTGTGACTTGGCGCTATATAAATAAACTGAATTGAAATTGAATTGAAGTTGCCATATTTCTGGGGTAGAGTTGCTGTGATTTGGGGTTGAATTTGCTGTGTTTCAGTGTAAAACTGCCAAAGTTATGTCAGTGGGGTCAGAAACGTTGCTCCACTTTAACATCAGTTACTATCAGTATTAAACGTGTTCCAACAAAATGGAAACAGGAACGGTGGTGTTTCGTTGTGAAGTTGCACTTGTGATTTTTCAGAGGACCCTTACTGGTAACAGCAACAGTGATGTCAGCAGGTGTTCTGAGCGTGGTGTCAGGATGGGCGGGACTGAGCGGTTCCAGGCTGATGGACGGCTGGCTGCTGTCGTTCAGTGGCACCCTCTGGCTGCTGGGTGGCTGAGCGACACCCAGACGCTCCACGTCCAACACCACGGTGTCCACACAAGTAAGACTGGTCTGAGCGGGCAGGACACAAGGACAGGGGACAGTCATTTTCAGGTAACACACACACACAACTGTCCTACAGCTGCTGGTGTCAGCCATGACTCACCATAATGCCGAGAGCTTTGAGGATGTTGAGTTTGCACATGGGACAGGTGCAGTGTTCGTTCAGCCATGGGTCCACACACACCTTATGGAAGACATGTCTGCAAGAGACCAGAGGGGTGATGATTGAGGATTCAAGCTGATTTTACTCCTGCAAACACAACACTGAAGAGTTCCTGTGTTTCTGTAAGGTAGAACCAGCAAAACTCACTTGCAGGGCAGAATTCGAACCACATCGTTCAGCTGGTACGCTTCAATACACACGGCACAGTAGTTAAAGTCCGAATCGGTTTCCTTTAATAAAAACACATAAAAACAAGACGTCCGTCGTACGTTTCTGTAAACAGAATCATTTCAGTCTCTGTGCAGTTCTAGGTCAGAGTTGGTGGTTTGGACTGGAGCAAACCGATTTAAACTCAAACTTTCCACCTAAAGTTTAACAGTTCTTAACCATTTAAATGAGCAAAGCAGAACTGAACTGAACCCACCACAGACCATGACTACCTGTATTCGGTCCACAGAACAGTTTTATTTTATTTTATTGGGGGTGGGGGTGGGGGGGGGGGGGGGGGGGGGGGGGGGGCTGACATTTATCATCCCTCAAAGAAAAGTTGGATTTACAACAATAATTGAAATTCCAAAAAAAAAGACTAGACATGAAAAGACACAATGACACGAGACATGTGGCTTAAAGACCCAAGATGGCCACTAGAAAAAAGGACAGAAAGCACAAGAAGACGAGACATATAAAGTGTGTAGATTCAGTAGATTCTGTATCCTGGTCTTCTATATTACCCAGCATGCTTTTCTTCCTTCTCCGTTTCCATCATGGCCGCCCCCATAGATCCTGGAGAATCTCAAGCTTCATGTTGTCTCTAACCAGACCTTTGATGTTCAGGAGGATTCAGTCCAAGGGTCGGCAAGATTCAAGGTTCAAAGCCATTGAAACAGGAAGTGGTTTGACCCTAGACTTTCTAAATAAAGCTTATAGATTTTCTTCAAAATAAGAGTCTGTTTCATGACTTGTATTTTTTACAAAAGGAAGTCTGCCATTACTATTGCGCTATAGAGAATATAGCTGATGGATTTACAAGCAGGAGCTTGTTTGGTCATTTTAATATTTCTGCAAAAATATTCTCGTCTCATCACAACCATCTGGTGACCCACCAAACAAACATGTTATCTGCTGGAGCAGGAAACACCTGCCATCTGCGTTACCTTGTCTCCTTTCTTCACTGTCCGTGTCGTCAGCTTCCCAATGGCTTTCTTGGCTGCATCACTGAGACGACGCTAAAAAACAAACAGAGCGTTAGACGTCAAAACAAGTGTCAGAAACCTCCAAACCAAAGAGAAACACCTGAACATCAACCGTCTGCAGTTTTTATTCCCGAAGCTGCAGCATCATCAGCCTGTTAACTGATCTGTTAACTGGTCTGTTGGCTTGTTAGCCGATGTGTCACTGAGTTAGCCTGTGAGCCAGTGTGTTAGCTTGTTAGCTGGTGTGTTAGCTTGTTAGTTGAGGTGTTAACCTGTTAGCACCTCACCTGGCTGCGGTCACGGGAACTGCTGTAACGGATCTTCTGGATGAAGTAGAAGATGAGCCAGGCTGAAGAGATGATCATGAGGACAATAAAGGAGATGGAGACGAAGACCAGAGAGCCACGGTTCATGTTCTTGGTGGACCCACGCTGACCCACCAACACAGAGACAAGAACCGTCAGGTTCCGATCCAGGTGAGCCAAAATCTCTTTACCATAGGCTTCAGTGATCATCACAGCCACAATGTCACCAGTACCTGCACACACAGCTTCAGTCAGGACCAGAACATTACACCCGTTCCCACTGAAATGGGACCAATTCTAGCTCAGAACCAGGTTTTGTGAAAAACCCGTTCAACAAGTCAGCTGCAAAAAAACACCATCCTTGAATGACAAAGTAAAGGATCCGAACACCTTTAAAGTTTTTACTTAAGATACATTTAACAACATATTTAATGTTTCCCTTAAATAAACCCTTAAAAATTCCTTTAAAACAGTTTCAGTTCCAAACAAAATCCTTAAAAAAACAAAAAAAACAACTAAAAAAAAAACTGTAAAAAGCTCTGTCTGACCGAATCCTCTCACAGAAGAAGGTCAGAGAAAAATCAATAAGAATTGTTTATATTTAGACTCAAAGATCATCAGGAAGCTGTTGATCAGAGACTTCATGTTTAATCCACCTTCCTCCAACTGTCTCAAGGGATGTTCCTTAACTTGTTTCTGCTGGTCTGATGTTAGTCCTGTTGGGTCTGGGGTCAGTCTTGTTGGGGCTGGGGTCAGTCCTGTTGGGTTTGGGGTCAGTCCTGTTGGGTCTGAGGACAGTCCTGTTGGGTATGGGGTCAATCTTGTTGGGTCTGGGGTCAGTCCTGTTGGGTCTGGGGTCAATCTTGTTGGGTTTGAGGTCAGTCCTGTTGGGTCTGGGGTCAGTCCTGTTGGGTCTGAGGTCAATCCTGTTGGGTCTGGGTTCAGTCCTGTTGGGTCTGAGTTCAGTCCTGTTGGGTTTGAGGTCAGTCCTGTTGGGTCTGGGTTAAGTCCTGTTGGGTCTGGGTTCAGTCCTGTTGGGTCTGAGTTCAGTCCTGATGCTCTAAGATCTGTACTGTTGTGTCTAAGGGTTAGTCCTGCAGGTTAGGGTCAGTCTGCTGGTCTGAGATCAGTCCTGTAGGGTCTGGGTTCAGTCCTGTAGGGTCTGGGTTCAGTCCTGTTGGGTCTGGGGTCAGTTCTGTTGGGTCTGAGGTCAGTCCTGTTGGGTCTGGGTTCAGTCCTGTTGGGTCTGGGTTCAGTCCTGTTGGGTCTGAGTTCAGTCCTGTTGGGTCTGGGGTCAGTCCTGTTGGGTCTGAGGTCAGTCCTGTTGGGTCTGGGTTCAGTCCGGTTGGGTCTGGGTTCAGTCCTGTTGGGTCTGAGGTCAGTCCTGTTGGGTCTGGGTTCAGTCCTGTTGGGTCTGGGTTCAGTCCTGTTGGGTCTGAGGTCAGTCCTGTTGGGTCTGAGTTCAGTCCTGTTGGGTCTGAGGTCAGTCCTGTTGGGTCTGGGTTCAGTCCTGTTGGGTCTGAGGTCAGTCCTGTTGGGTCTGAGTTCAGTCCTGTTGGGTCTGAATTCAGTCCTGTTGGGTCTGAGTTCAGTCCTGTTGGGTCTGAGGTCAGTCCTGTTGGGTCTGGGGTCAGTCCTGTTGGGTCTGAGGTCAGTCCTGTTGGGTCTGAGTTCAGTCCTGTTGGGTCTGAGGTCAGTCCTGTTGGGTCTGGGTTCAGTCCTGTTGGGTCTGAGTTCAGTCCTGTTGGGTCTGAAGTCAGTCCTGTTGGGTCTGAGGTCAGTCCTGTTGGGTCTGGGTTCAGTCCTGTTGGGTTTAGGGTCAGTCCCGATGCTCTGTTGTGTCTAAGGGTTAGTCCTGCAGGTTGGGGTCAGTCTGCTGGTCTGAGATCAGTCCAGGGTCAGTCTGTCTGAGGTCGGTCTGTCTTTATAGACCTAATTGTGAAGCTTCTGACCTTCGTGGCCCATCTTGACAGTGTTCTCGGTGGAATTGTTGTAGATGAGGACAGCCGTGGCGTTGTAAGTAATGGCCTTCAGGATCTTCTCTCTGAAAGTGCAGTTCCCTCTCTGCAGCAGCGCTACCCAGTGGACGATCCGGGGAGGAACCAGAAAACGGGTGTTTGGATCACAGCCCTGACGGTCCACCACTGAGGAGATAAACCGAGGTTACAGTCAATGTGAGATATTCTTCAGTCAGTTCAGATCAGGAGTCCAGATCATCGAGATGCATAATCAATAAACATATTTTAAAATGATTGTTCTCATATGTGAATAAAAACAGAAATCAGAAACCGATCACTGTGAGAGATCTTACCTCAAACATGAGGATGAAAGAGTGTGTGAACGTAACTTGAATATAAAGACACGTCATATGATTTATAAAAGTGTTTTATAATCCACTTACAGATGTCAAACTGAGCGCGAGCAAAGCGACTTTACAAAACGTCCTCTACGTGGACAAAGTGTTTGGAGGACAGCTGGACGATATTTTGTGTGTTTTAACACCAGCTGTCGAGCCTTACGTTCCTGCACGGAAACACTGATGTGTCTGTAGAAATTAATTATAAATTACATTGTGAGGTTTCATATGAAGAAGCACTTATCTTCAGTGTTTTACTGTAAAATACAGGAGCTGAACTTGGACAGAGCGAAGGCTTCAGTGACCTGCAGCTCCATCCAGAAGCTGCAGTGTCCTTGGAGCACCTGACTGTAATCTGACCCTTCAGAGCAGAGACGCTCCGTCCTTCAGGAGTCTAAAAACCTCTGCAGTGCCTCTGCTGTTACAGACTCAACACACAGGAACAGTGGAGCAAAAACACCCAAACTACAAAAAAACGCTGGAGAAAAACACTCACTACAAAATAACCTCATCAAGGAATCGAGACTCTGGATCTTTAATTTTTTTCACACATATTCTTAAGCAGCATTTGACAATATTTAGGCAGCAGTTGTAGTAATAACTGCATTTTTGTCTTAAAATATAACTTGTGTGTTTTTTTAATTTTGTTCTTAGTAAAGCAAAACTGTGGTAATTTTGACCCGAGGTTTTCACAGTCAAACTCTTTTAACACCACCTGGTTCTGATCCAGCTCGCCAAACAACTAACAAAAATCAATTTTCACAGACCAGAACTGGTCATGGTCTGGGCTTGGATCGGGGTTCTGTGTTGGTTCTGGGCTTAGATCACGGTTCTGAAAGCAGAAGTAACACAGACAACAACAAAACAAAAAGTCCAGCCGAGATTTTTCCACATTTGCTGCCTTCAAGGACCACGTCTTATTCAGGGACTTTTGAGTAAGCAAAGTAAAACACATTCCTATTGGTCTAGAACATAAGTGTCAAACTCAAGGCCCCGGGGCCAAATGTGGCTCTTGTTGACATCTTATCTGGCTGAAACATAAAATACTTCTATCTCTTGAATTTTTTCAGTAATCTTTGATTGTGATGTCGAAAGCACAACAGAGAACATCAAATGAGACCAATCAAACTCTTGTTGAGGAACACATGACCAAGAAAAGAGTTTGGGTATCTGATTTGGGTTAAAGTTGATTCTGAAATTGGCCCTTAGTTTGAAAAAGGTTTTAATTTTGGCCCCCTTTTGTGAGTTTGACACCCCTGCTCTAGAAGAAAAGGGGACGGGTTCTGGGTCAGCCCACCTGCAGTCCTCACCTGTCCTCATTATGAGGACAATCCTGAGTTAGACTGATTTTAAATGGGACCGTACATGGACAGGTGTGTTTGTCCTCAGGTGTGTACTGTGATGTCACTACCTCCGTGGCGCGGCGCAGGTGCGATGATCACGCCCCTGGTGTCCACTTTGGGGGAGTTCTGTCCGTACGTCCCGTCATCACTGCTCATCACATGGACTGTGGTTCCTCGTGAATCCAACACGGTGACGTTCACGGTGGCGTCGACGTATTCCTCGGAAAAGTTCTTGTCAGAGCGAGCCGCCAACACGAAGTGGGCCTGAACCACAATCTGGACCAGTACCAGAACCACTGCGACAGGAAGACAGGTCCACTTGTGGTGTGCCATGTTATTGTTCTGGACTGTCACATCGAAAATGTATGTTCTCCAGATGTTAAATCTGTCGGTTAATGCCCTCCAGCTGTTATGTCCGTCTCCAGGTCTCCTCCAGCAGGTAAAGTCTGTCTTTGAACGTCCTCCAGATGTATGTTTCTGTCTCTGAATGTCCTCCAGATGTAATATCTGTCATTGAATGTCATCCAGATGTTGAACTCTGTCTCCGAATGTCCACCAGGTGATTAAGTATGTCCAGGGACGTCCTACAGGCAAGTGTTTTTGTCTTTAAATGCCCTCCAGATGTGCATCCTCTTCTTGGATCCTGTGTCTGTCCTGGGCCTGTCCCAGTAAACCCTGGGTTGAGTCTGACAGGTGAAGTGGGGACATCAGAACGACCGTGAGCATTATCACCAGGCCAACATCTGGATCGTGTTTCCTGGAAGCCTCTCCCGGTGGAACCACGGATTGTTTTCAGAGGTTCGGTTTGAAATAATCTCGTTTTAGAGCTCGGCGGTGACTCGGTGCTTTACCGTCCGTTGTTAGAGGCGCTGTTGGTCGCTTCATTCCGCATCGTGTCACCGTCTGCAGGCAGACAGACTCCCGGACTCCTTGAGCACCGATCCCCGCCTACTCTGCCTCTGGTGTCCCGCAGAGGGTCCGGTTCTGAGTGGTTGGATCCTAATGGTTGTCACTGTTTGGCTCCTGAGAGAAGCTAGATTAGGTTCTAGCTGTTTGTTACTCTGAGACATACTGCGCAGGCGCAGAATCGTGACTGCGCATGCGCGTAGAAGATCTTTGAGACAATATTTGGCTGGGATGTCACGTTCATCGATATATAATATAAATAATATAATAATAATAATATATATCGATGGTTAAATGCCGAAAAGTCACGTGATGAGTCATAGCGATTTGACCGACCTCTGCTGGACACATGGATGATTAAATTTATTTATTTTTATTTAGATTTTTATTTAGACACAAGATAGATATTTTTATTTTATTTTAATTATTTCTTTAGCATATATTATTGTACGTTATCATAGGTTTACAAAAGCTTATTGTGCTTACAAGGTAGTAACTTAGTCTGAAATGTTTAATGAAATATATAGGTGAACAAATTTGACTCAGTGGTCAGTTTTGCCTCTTTCTCGCTCTTAATTAATGCATAATAAGAAGTTAATAATGATTTAGAAAGTGTTTATAGAGAAATTAATAGCATATATATAAACTATTTATTAGAATCTAAAAGGGAAGCCTTATTGTAAAGTGGTACTGATAAAAGTAACAAAAGACAAGACTAACTAAGGCTAGTTAGAAGCTAAAAATAGCAAAAGGCTATTTTTAATTATATTTTATAAAGAGCTATAAAAGCCAAAAAATAGTAATGACGAAAAAAATAACTAACGCTGCAACACTACCTGTTGAATCAGGTTCTGTTGGACCTGTTTACATTTGTTGGAACTTTGTTTAGAGTTGTTGAGACTTGTTTCCTGAGCAGTGCTGTATGAGTTCTGTAGTGGGACAGCCAAGGCTTGCAGCAGGCAGGGCTAATGAGGTCCATTCCTATTTACAGTAATGCCAGATCAGCCACACCCACTCCGAGTCATGCATTATGCTACATCTGTGAGAACACTGTTTTAAAACCAGCAGAACCGAGTCGGTTCAAAACTGGCCCTCATACTAGTTCTGACCTAAATCCTCCACAGATCCAACAGGAAGGGAAGAGCAACGTCCTCAATGAGAAGCAGAACCTGAGAGAGAGAGAGAGAGAGAGAGAGAGAGAGAGAGAGAGAGAGAGAGAATCCTCACAGAGTCACACATTCCACTGACACACACACAGACACATCTGGCAAACATCAGCAGAGTGAGATGGTCGGCAGAAATCGGATCCGACGGAGCCCTTATGAGCCACAGCTAACACAGATCACACCACTTCTGGTCCACTGTGGTACCACTGAGACTTCGCTGCTTCACCTAAACCAGACCTGAACTAGTACCACTGAGCCTGGCCTGGGACCACTAAACTCTACCTGGATTGGTCCTGAGTCTGACCCGGACTGGTACCACTGAGCCTAGCCTGGCGCCGGATACCCCTGACCCTGACTGGTGCCGTTGCTGCAGCTGTTAATCTGCATCTGTAAGAGGAACAGGAAGTAGCTGTTGTGAATAAAACCACTTTGACAAGCGTGTCAAAGAAAAACCACAGAAGAATGAAGATGATTTTTGGGACGTTTCTCTTGGTTTCTGTGCTGTCGTCTGTCTGCAGTGTCTCTCTGTCTCCACGTCCTGCAGACGAATGTTCTGGAATGTCTCTCCGTAAGTTGTCTTTTTTACTTCCTGTAGCAGAATGGACATATGTGATCAGATGAACGTGTAAACAGTTGGACACATCTGCTGGACATGAAAACAGACTTGAACAAATAGACCTATGTGAATAAATGGACATAGATGACCAGAAGGACATGTAAACAGTTGGGCACGTGATCAGATGGACATATAAACAAACTTGAACAAATAGACACATGTGAATAGCTGGACACATGACAAGATGGACATATGAACAAAAATAAACAAATGTCAAATTAAAAAAGTTAGATGGACACATGATGGATATTTGAAAGATATGTGGACAAATGGACATGCGAAAAGTTGGACATGTAAACAGACATGTGAACAAATAAACCTGTGAACATTTGAACACATTTGAAGACCAGATGGACATTTGAAAAGACAGGTGAACAGATGTCCATGTGATCACATAGACACGTGGACAGATGGACATGTGAAAACATGTGAGCAACTTAATTGTGTTATTTTTTTATCATACATATATATACAGTATATAAATGTTCAGCAATTATCTAATATATTTACTTGTGTTATTTTGTGGGGTTTTTTTGTGCTCATCTATAATCTTTCTAAATGAAAATAACAGTTATATAGACTGTTGTGGTCTCTGCAGGTCTACAGACTGTCTGTTGTGGTCTCTGCAGGTCTACAGATTGTCTG